CACCCTGACTCACTTTACTCACCCTGACTCACTTTACTCACCCTGACTCACTTTACTCACCCTAACTCACTTTACTCACTCTGACTCATTTTACTCACCCTGACTCACTGTACTCACCCTGACCCACTTTACTCACCCTGATCCACTTTACTCACCCTGACTCACTTTACTCACCCTGACTCACTTTACTCACCCTGACTCACTTTACTCGCCCTGACTCACTTTAATCACTCTTACTCACTTTACTCACCCTGACTCAGTTTACTCACCCTGACTCACTTTACTCACCCTGACCCACTTTACTCACCCTGACTCACTTTACTCACCCTGACTCACTTTACTCACCGCCCTGACTCACTTTACTCACTCTTACTCACTTTACTCACCCTGACCCACTTTACTCACCCTGACTCACTTTACTCACCCTGACTCACTTTACTCACCCTGACTCACTTTACTCACCCTGACCCACTTTACTCACCCTGATCCACTTTACTCACCCTGGCTGAGTGCATGGGAGACACGCTGCGCTCAGACATGGATGAATAAGTTGAGTCTCTCTTGGTGGTGAGTGAAGACATCCACGCCTTCTGTGAGTGTGGTGAATCACCCAGATTATCTCCCATGCATGACGTCACCACACCGTTGGACCTGCAATATATTGTGTGGTGATTATTGGCCCATCGTGTAGTGATTATCGCCCCGTCGTGTGGTGATTATCGCCCCATTGTGTGGTGATCATATCCCCATCNGCCCCATCGTATGGTGATTATCTCCCCATCGTGTGGTGATTATTGCCCCATCGTGTGGTGATTATTGCCCCATCCTATGGCGATCATATCCCCGTCGTGTGGTGATTATCTCCCGGTGATCATATAGCTGCAATATATCCCTCTCACTTGTCAGTGCAGCTGTTGAGCAGCAGCTGAGGTGCAGCAGCAGGCATCAGCTGCCTCCGCTCCTCTGTTTCCTCGTCTGCGGAAGCGAAAGTAATAATTATTAATTAATTAATTTAACGTAATAACTTTGCATTAACTTTTGTAATAAATATTAATTAATTAATATTTATTACTGCCATTAATGCAGAGTTATTGCGTTAAATTAGATAATTATTATTTATTACAGTAATTAATGCAAACTTATTACGTTTAATTAAATAATTAATATTTATTTAGTTGATCAATGTATAATTATCAAACTCTTTAGCGTCCAGCTGTACATATCTATCGCCTTTGATTTTTTCGTGATTTTTGTTTCCATTTGAAGCTTTTTCCTCCAATTATAATTTGTTATGCGAAAATGAATAAATGAAATTCATTTTCAATGAATAAATTTCAGAAATTTGGTATTTCACACTCAAAAGGTAGCTGGTTGCTAAAAGGTTAATTTCATAACTGAAGATAATTTATATGATTGAATAATTTAATATTATTGAGCCACCATGAATGGTGATTATCAACGGTGACTTATTATATGATATTTTTGATTTTATATGATTATTATATTTTTATTAACAGTCTTCATTAATTACAACATGCAACACTAATAGGAATATATGAATCATCCAAGATAAAAATTACATCAATATTTGTACAAAGTGTCACTCATCTCTTTGAGTGCCGGAACACGTCTCCTTATCAGTACATGTAATATGTAATATTACATTAATAATAATATGTAATATTACATCACATTGCAATATATTATTTCATTTATTTGTATCAAGAAGCGCTATGTTCTCACTAATATTGTATACAATAAATATTTTCTCGCGTAGAAACCAGTAACATAATAAAATTTTGTTATATATAATAAAATATACAATGAATTGATATAAAATATCAAATTGATAAATGAATACAAAATTTATAATTAAATTTTAACTTACTTTTCCTGAGTAATGAGTTGAGAAGACATGGTTGCGCTACTGCGCACACCACCACCACCGCCACCACCACCACCACCACCACACCACCCACCACCACCATGGCTCGGCCTGCTTCACCAAGCACAAGTTCAACCATTATTGTTCTGGTTCTTGTTCTATTACAGTTGTTCTTTTTCAGTTGTTATGCTCCTTCTGCTGTTCTCTTTCCGTTCTCGGTTGTTTTACGGATAAATAACTTGGTTATCTTGAAAATAATCATATTTTCATATTTGAATGTGAATTATAATGAAGATAATCATATTTTTTATATTTGAATGTGAATTATAATGAAGATTTTTATACATGAGTTAAGAGAATCGGGTACTGAATATTAAACATGGTCGTTGTATGGCCGGCCAGACATGTGGCTATATATAAGTTCTAAAGCCATTCAAGGTTCATTCTGAAGAGAAAATATAAATAAATCAATTAACATTTCCTCACCAAGTCAAGTAATAAAATTAAGTTTTACAGTAACACTCCATAACAATTATGCAACGAACTTTTTTAAAGACATTATCGAAAAAATTCCGCGGGAAATACAACCAGGATTTGCATAACATGAATGGGAATAAATTAATAAACTCCATGGTTAACTCATAGCAGGTATTAAAGACCGGCCAAATAAACTCCATGGTTAACTCATAGCAGGCATGAAACACCAGACTAATAAACTACCAGGTTAAGACAGGCAGCAATCGCCGACGCCTAACTATTTATTAATAATAAAAACTTTATCTCAACTCCTACCACCTATGAGACCAGATTCGACCGACCTGAAAATAATCTCATCACCATATAAAAAAGGCTATTAACTTCACCTTCAACATATCGTTCCTTCCTGCACAAATTCATAAATATACAGTACATTTATATATAATCATATATACGTCAACTACACATTTCTTCCGTTCTTAGCCGACATTACATGGAGCGCGCGGAAAAATCATTAACTTCGAGAAATCTCTATAAATAGTTAACAACTTATTGGAAAAGCTTCTCTGAAGACATGCATCTCAACTGAGCACTTTTCTACGTCTTTGAACTATAAATATTGTACCTGGATAAGTTTACTTAAATCACATGTTCACCAAGAATTTAAATGCATAAAAACGACGGAACAAATACATTACATCTTCAGTGAAAAAATTTCGGAGACGAACTCCGTCATCATTTTTCGAGGGCAACTGCAAAAATTTAATTATATACGTTTAAAAATTACTTTTTAAAGACAACACTTCTAAAAAATCCAGTGTCTCCAATGTAAAACATTTACAATGAATTTCTAATTTTAATTTCGAATATTAAAAAATTAATTTTTTAATTATTTTAATGCACAAAGAAATTAAATTTTCAAAATTATTTATTCTGTAAATTGATTCATGCATTGTCTCCGACTTCACGCAAGTCTGCAAAATTTCAGATAGATTGGACAGCTAGAAGTGTGTTAAATATCGATTATAAGATTTGTAGCAGACAGACAAACAGACAAACAAGAAGTGAAGTTAAAGAGAAGTGTTGTAAAAAATACTACTACATGCAATCAGTTAGTGAAATCAGAATATACTCGAAAATTATTACAATCTGCCAGAAGTGCACTACTGAACAGCCGCCATAAGCTCGACGTACAGTGCAGTGGCGGAACTGGTTAATGGTTATACGACCACCCGGTTTTTTCTGAATATTTTTTCTTGCATAAAATAATAATGGATTCTTATTATACGAGGTTGAACTACGTTTAAAAACGGTTTCCAATGCTATTAAAAATAATTTTTCAAAATATATGAGAAGAAATGATGAAATTTAGAAAAACCTAAGTAGAAATGGTTATAAGAACATGAACGGTTTTTCCGTTTTTCTGTCCCATACACTCGTTTTAATAGGCAATCTCACCTCCTTAATTTCACCTTAACTACCTCAATGCATCTTCTTCCCATGCGATTTAACAAATAATCACATAGTCTTTTTAGGAATTTTATCCCATGATCGAAGGATAGCCGTGCTCAGGTCACTCACAGATTGGAACGGGCGCTCATTTTGGTAAACATCTCTCGCCATGATGCCCCATAGGTTTTCAGTGGGGTTTAGTTCAGGGCTAAGCGCTGGTCACGGCAAAAGGGTTATATTCTGCTCTAGGAACCACTTGTTCGCTGGCTTTGAAGTGTTAATCAAAGCATTACCTTAATGGAAAACATATGATCACTCATGTTTCTCATCGGCAAAAAGAAGAAGAAGGTGAAATAGCGTGAGCTTGTATGCCTAGGAATCTTGTCTCCCTTGTAAAATAGCTGGAGTTGATTTTCCCTTTCGGCTAAACGCCTTCCAAACCATGCTGGAACTAACATTAGATTGCCGCTTGGAAAAGAATTCAGGCTCACGGTCCCGGTGGTACCAATGTACCAAAAGCATTGCCATCCATCTGGACCATCAAGATTGAATATTTTTCCACCACTGAAGATAATCCCTCACCGATAAGCACATTTTTTCAGCTAGTATTTCTATAGATTGACAATATGCTTTTGTTTGAGCATAGGGGGCATTTTTCCGCTTCATGTAATTGAATTTCTTCGAGTCATGTAATATCTGACGGATGAGTCGTGCTATCGCATCAACCCCAGGGGCCAATTTTATAGAAGTAGATGTAGCGTCAGTTTTAGAAGCCTGTGAAAACAGTCGCCAAAGATCCCTTTCGGTTAATTCTGGGGCTGGTCCAAGGTGCAATTTTAATCCGTAGCTGTCCGAATTAGCAAAAAATGATTGTAGAACGTGTTTTGAGCGTTTTATTTCTATTGCGATGTCCCGTTGGCTTCTACCACATTTCGCAAAGGCCGAAATCTGCGCCCTCTTGGCCTTTAATTGTGAGTCTTGTCCCCTTTGCCATATTTTTACTTCATAAAAATATAAGTGAGGACACTGAAATATACCAGAAGTACACAAGAAGTACCCAAATGGCGAAAATCAGGATTTTCTTTATGTTGCTGCACTTTTAACGTGAAAAATATTACAGAGAGATACTAAAATGAAGAACGACCCATCATGGTCTTATAACCGTTTCCACCTAGGTTTTTCTAAATTTCATCATTTCTTCTCACATATTTCGTAAAAAAATTTTTTTTTGCTTCGAACAGCGCTGGAGCCGTTTTCAAACGTAGTTTAACTCGTATAAATAGAATCCAGTATTTTAGGGGCAATAAAAAAATATTCTGAAAAAACCGGGTAGTCGTATAGCCTTTCCCGCCACTGTTTATATAGTACACTGCCAAACTCCTCCGGGACCCATCAAAAAAATGAAGCCGGTGTTGCGGTGCTACAACAATTTCTGTTATAATATTGTCATGTGGTCAACTTATTTCTTATTTGTGTTATAGTATTGTCATGTATTCAACTTATTTCTATTTCACTGATGCCTCTGTAATGCCCACTACCTAGACGCTCGATTATCTCAAAGGTTAACAAGCTTATATAGCTTTTGATGGTGTATGGCTGGCGACACTGCATTTTCAAGGCCAAATATTTTCACAGTATTTTGTACAATAGTCCGCAATTATAACAATAGCAACACCATTACAGCAACACCACAGCAACACCATCACCGCAACACCATCACAGCAACACCATCACAGCAACACCACAGCATCACCATCAAAATCATCACTCACCATCCTGTAACGCTGCACTTGAGTCAATAACCGCGTCAGCTGAGACTATGTTTGCGTTTATAGTGCAGGTGCTAGTGCTGGTCATAGTACAGGTGCTAGTGCTGGTCATAGTACAGGTGCTAGTGCTGGTCATGGTACAGGTGCTAGTGCTGGTCATAGTGCAGGTGCTAGTGCTGGTAATAGCACAGGTGCTAGTGCTGGTCATAGTGCAGGTGCTAGTGCTGGTTACAAATGTTATAATATGCACAGAACCTACACCTAGTACATCAGCTAGGTAAACTAGGTGCGGTACTGTTGTAAGAACTAGTACAGATGCGCACGTTTTATGCATGTTAATTCAATTCCTGAATAATGTTTATAATAAGGTTAATGTATTCTAAACAGTAGCAAGCAACATCTGTATCATAACACACGCTGTAAAATACGAGGTCATTCATCACATTCATCACTAATGACATCAAATCAACGACCTCAAACTCGGTCAGAGCGCATTGGTTAACTCCGCATTAATAATAATATTGGAAAGTTTAACGCAATATTAATCAGTCTTACTTTTTACACGCTATCTTTTTAAATTAACTTCAGATTCAACATAATGCGAAATTTTTCAAATTCAACACAACGCGATGGTTTTATGGCAAATATATTTCAACTCACCAATAAAATATCAAATCAAAATTTACTTAAGCTTTTGAAACAATTTAAGCAGAGAAAATGTACAAATTATTAACACATTTAGCAACTGAATTTCATTGTATTGTATTCAGGCATTCACGAGCAGCATGAATCCTTCATGAAAACATTAATTTTAATAAATGGTTGCCGTGTATGTTTAATGTATAATTGTACACACAGCTGTATAAAAATATATGAACAATATAAGGCATACAAGAACAACGTTAATCTTGCTGTCGTTCTACTCATTTAACCTCAGTTAAGTCAACATGCATCACACAGCATCTTCTTCATCATTCATCACGCATTTTCATCACCATCATTCATCACGCTCTCACCCAACCATCATTAATCAACATCACTCAGCTGACAGTGCGCAAACAAAACACTCATTGTGGCATGTGTGGCATGTGTGGCATGAGGGACCTGACTTGCGCCGTGGCGTGTGTGGCATGACGGTCCTGACTTGCGCCATGGCGTGTGTGGCATGACGGTCCTGACTTGCGCCATGGCGTGTGTGGCATGAGGGACCTGACTTGCGCCGTGGCGTGTGTGGCATGACGGNGTGGGAATGAGATGGAGTGGGAATGAGATGGAGTGGGAATGAGATGGAGTGGGAATGAGATGGAGTGGGAATGAGATGGAGTGGGAATGAGATGAAG